ACTTGCCATTAAAAAAGAATTTAAAAATACTGAATTTTACCGGTCTGGTCTTTTATTTCTTAATCAGCCGGAAAAATGTTCGCGAAATGATGTTTGGGAATTACCGTCGGCTATCCTTAATTTTCCCTACCAAGTATCGCTCAGGACAAATATTAGTCTTTCTCGAGACCTTTTTGAAAGCCAAGTTAAGGAAAACGTTGAAACCCAAGAAAAAGTTTTTTGGATAAAAAACTTAAAACCACACATTATAAAAAAGGCACTTTATAAGTTTGATTTTTATTCATTTTCTAATTTAAAAAAATGGTTTCCCAACTTGGAAAAACTGGATGAATTTATTAAAAACGAAAAATATTTGGGAGGAGTGAAAATAACTGTTTCTGGTCTGAAATCTCAACTCCAAGAATTAAAACCGGAGGACGAAATTAACATTTTAACAAAAACTATCGGGCAAATTACTTCTAGTTTGGCTTCCAACAGTCCTGAATTCAGAGGAAGTAAAGAATTTAAACACATCTTATTAAAAGAGAAAATTGTTGATAAAGAACTTAATTTTGCCCCAAATGAAAGTTGAGATAAGGAATTAGGAAAATCAATGAATAATAATCAAAAGACTGAATTTTATCTGAACCTCAATGATAGACCCTGACACGTTTTTGAAGATTGTTTTGGAACTTCTGAGGAAAAATATTTTGTGAAATATATTAATAAAATATATGATAAACTTCAAGAAAAATACGACCAAATTTATTTAGTCCGGAATGAGCGTTTTTTTAAACTTTACAATTTTGAAGACGGAAAATCTTTTGAGCCTGATTATGTGCTATTTTTGCAGCAAAAAAAGCCTTCTAAAAAATTGTATTATCAAGTATTTATTGAGCCAAAAGGTAGCCATTTCAAGGAAAAGGATGATTGAAAGCAAAATTTTTTGATATCTTTAAAAGAAGAACATAAAGTAGAAAAATTATGGGAAGATAAAGAATATAAAGTTTGGGGCCTGCCATTTTATAATAAAATGGAGGAAAATGAATTTGACCGAAAATTTAGTAAGGAATTGTTATAAATACTATAAAACCTTTCTATCCCACCCAAAAAATAAAAAAATGCTTCCCGAATCAAACAATAAATCCCTTTTTCCAAAAATAATCGCTAAAATTCCCCCACAGCCTGGTTGTTATCTATTTAAAGACAAAATCGGAACCATAATTTATGTTGGCAAAGCCCAAAATCTAAAAAAAAGAATTAGCAGTTATTTTCTCAATTCACGGGATAATTATTTTTATCAGCAAATCCATAGTTTTAACACCATTATCACCAATAATGTCAAAGAGGCCTTAATTTTGGAGCAAAATCTGATTAAAAAATACCAACCGCGTTTTAATGTTCTCCTCAAAGATAGTCATTATTATCCTTATTTAGAGATTACGGCCGGCGAAAAT